CCTGCTTGTCAGTCCGTATTCACTCTAGTCTTGGACTTCCTAGTGGTCTGTTCATCACCCAACACTGGGTATGGCCTTCCTGGGCCAAACTGGCCTTTCCTAGGCCAAACTGGCCAAACTGGCCTTTCCTGGCCAAACTGGCTCCACTAGGCTCCAACCCCCACACTCTCCCTACTATACTTTTGGAACCCCCCGCAGCCCCCCCCTCCCTAGGGGACGATTGCTTTGGGCTTTCACCCAACTGCCTGTATTAGTATTCAAACTCAGACTCAGACTCGGTCTCAGTCCCGGTTTCGGACTCGAACTCGTTCTCGGTCTCGGTCTTGGTCTCGGTCTCGGTCTCGGTCTCGGTTCTGTCTCAGACTCCATCTCGGGTCCATCTTGGACTCTATCTCGGACTCCACTTCGGGTCCATCTCAGACTCCAACTTGGGTCCATCTCGGACTCCATCTCAGACTCCATCTTGGACTCCATCTCGGGTCCATCTCGGATTCCATCTCGGGTCCATCTCGGACTCCATCTCGGGTCCATCTCAGACTCCATCTCAGACTCCATCTCGGGTCCATCTCGGACTCCATTTCAGACTCCACTTTGGGTCTATCTCAGACTCCATCTCGAACACTTCCATGTGTCATGTGTTGGTCCTTTTTGGGTCCCTTTTTGGAGCCTTGCTTATTAGTTGCCTCGTGCTCGCTCCTCGAGCACTTTGTTGGGAGTTCCAGTCCCGCTCTCGACCTTCCAAGTCAGAGCTTTTAGTCCAAACGTGTTACGCTCGTTTGGCTTTCGCTTCGGCCACTACCATGTGGCACCCTTTTCGGCTCCACTTTGGGGCCTAGGGATTTTGTGTCTCATATATACTATATGATTTTATAACCATTCCTAACTACTTCACGCTTGTCTATGACGAGTGTTGCCTAGGTTAGGTCTTTTTTTTTTGGATGCCTAAACTTAAATGTAATTTCATTTTGCCTAAGCTTTCTTTTTTTGCTCTGTTTGGGATGATACACAAGATAAAACATTTACCTCTTCATCACTATCTTGTGCATCTTCGATTTCCAAAAGGATAATTTTGTTATTTCATCAATTTTCTAAATTCCTTAAAATTTATTTTTAGTGTTAGGATTTTTTTTTGAGTTTGTTGAGTGTCAAGAATATTTCTTGAACATCAGGAAAATTTTCCTAATTACAAAATCTTGAACCTTTATTCATCTCTCACTAAAATGGTTGTAGCTATTTTAAATTTAGAGAAGAGTTATAAAGTGCACCTTCACCATCATTAATTGAATTGGGTTGCTATCTTTTTGTTGAAATTCTTCATAATCTTTAAGATTTATTTATCTTTTTTTTTCTTTTTTCTTTTTCTTTTTCTTAGAATCTTTTACTACTGATATATTTTATCTTGCAATGCCTTATATCCCACTATGGTCACTAGTGAAACATTGTTGAAATTCTATATTGTAGAAAGAGGGAAAAAGATAAAGAACAAAAAAAAGAAAGAAAGAAGAAAAGAAGAAGAAGCTTGTTTGTTACTTGGCTTGGTTTTTAAATTTTACACTCTATTGTAACAATTTTTGAACTAAACACAAATAAACACATAAAAATAATAAAGAAAAATTACTCAAGTATTTCAATCCCTAAAAAGGCTCTTGTCAAGGTTGTGAGCAAAGATAAATTTAGCATCACCTAAGTATTCTAGATCTTAAGGATATAGATGTGCATTGATGATGGAAGGCTGAAATATAAAAAGATAGAAATAGGGTTTAAGTGCTAATTCACCATCTAATCCTACATAGTGCCAATTATCAATTCTTTCTATTCTTAAGTTTTATAATAACTTCCAATATGTTAATATTAATCCTACCAACTAAAGGTGTAAATTTAAATTGCTAATGTGCCTTACTCATAAGCCCAAGCATAACCTCATACAAATAGTACATCTCAAATCCATCTAATAAGCCCAAGCAAAATCTTATACAATTTGGTTCAATACGGTAATCAAAATTTATATTTAGGACATATATGAAATCATTTCAACTAAACATGTATCCACTTGGATCATCATGTTCATATCTATATATACAATGAAACTAGTTGCCCAATTTGTTAGATAGTACTCACTAAGACTAATCCTCTTATACCAAATGTAGTGCATGTGGTTTTCACCTTATATTCTATAGTAAATTATCATAGGATAACTACAAAGTAAAATTCAACTCTTAATCATATATACCAAGGATAACCTAAATTTAAAGGCCTTGGGTCCCTATATAAAGGGATAGAATTGATCTTTTGAGTGTATAGTCAAGGAATGGCACAAATCAATATTGAAATAGTCTTAAAATATTTAGTGTTCTAACACTAAAACCAGCATGCAAGAAGGAGCCAAATAGAATTTAGCACTATTTAAATATATTAGTAGTATAATGTGAGGATATGGGTATTCCACCAATTAGCATGGTATAGAGCTTGAATTTAGACCCAAACAAAATATAAAAGAAGGATAAACATGCCCAACGGGAAACCAAATAATGGTATACACCAAAAGCTATACTCAATGACATATATAAAGCCATAACAACCAAACATGTACTCACTAAGATCATCATTTTTCATCTCTATATATGCAACAAAACTAATTGCTTAATCCCACGAGATAATACTCGTTAAAACTAATCCTTTGATACCAAATGTAGTGTATATAGTTTTCACTCTATACCCTAATAGGATAACCATGGAGCAGAATTTAACCCTTGGACATGTGTGCCAAGGAAAACAAAAAGGAACTCAAGATTTCAAGGCTTTGCATCACTGAACAAATGGACAAAATTGAACTCTAAAGTATATAAGCAAAGAACAAAAGACAAAATGATATTAAAATAATCTTAAAGCATCCAATGCCAAGACTAATATGCAAAACAAAGCTAAATAGAGTTAATGCTATTTTATCATATAGATAGCATAACGTGAGGATATGGATAGTCCACTAGCTAGCATAGAATGGTCTATACCTGCCAATTAGGCATATTTACAGAATATAGAGCTTGAACAAAATGGTGTTGTTTAAATTCAGAATATAGTACTATTTTATATTTAGTAAGTTTTCAAGATTAGACTAACTTTTAGAACTAGGGTGAAAGCCTAAAACATGTTTTTGTACTTGGGGGTGAGGAATAATGAAGGGTTCCAAATGTATAGTAAGGATAATGGATAGGTTGAGCATGATTGATTAACTTAAGATATTATCTAACTTCTTGTTAGATATATCTATCCTTGTTCTAATCTTTTTTAGGTCAAAGCCCAAACTCACTTTACATAAATAACTAATGCAATTGAAATAGGACCAATATATGGGGAATCATAATGAGAGTGCTTTAGCAGATAACTTATCACTTAGTGAGTATTGAGAAACTAAGCTCAATATCAAAAGGGTTCTTAACACTAGCAAATATAAGCTAACAAATAGGTTTTTCTAATCAAATTAAATATATTTTTTTAATAGCCGTTAGGAATTCCATCCTCCACCCAAGCTAGTTTAAAACACATGTGCACTTAACTAAAAAAGCATAAAGAATTAGTAATACCAACCTTCTACTATCATAGTAGTAAAAGAAAAGTATTAAAAGGACTTACCAAGAGATAACTTCTTATACTTATAGATAAATTTGGATAGCATCCAAAATCTCAAAGCCAATACTAGCATGTAAAACAAAGTTAAACAAAATTTAGCTTGCATAGAGACTGATAAAGGGAACTAATAATCCTAACCTCCTATTGTTATAGCAGTAAAAGAAACATATCCAAAAGGACTTACCAATTGATAACTTTCGATACTCATAGATAAATTTATGAAAACATCTAAAATCTCAAAGCTAATACTAGCATGTAAAACAAAATTAAACAAAGTTTGACACTATTTCAACATTCTAGTCTAAGTGTAGAGTTCCACCATTGTCTGTAACTTGCCAATGTAGGATTTAAAAATGAATTACAGCTTTATTTGCTTTGATAATGGAGACAAATTTTGTTCTTGAGCTTGGAAAAGTTGCAGTCTTTTAAGAAGAAAATACTTAGCTCCATAGATTGATCCAAGATTTTTTCCTCAACCTTCTTCCTACCTTCTATTTTCCATACCAATTTCATTATATATGATAATTGTGGACTGGCACCAAATGTGAAGCCATATTTTCAAATTTAGGTAAAACTTTTGTGCTTGTAGAAATGTCTTTTTTGGATGTTTCAGTTCTTTGATTTTGGGGATGGAATGTGGATTTACTTTCTAATATCAAGAGCTCTTCATTAATAGCCTTATAACCACACCCAATGAAAGTAATCCTTGAAGCATTTGTACTCATAGATGGACTTTTGTAGGCCTCCAACATACAAAGCACTTGGTCCCTACATGATAATGATGAAGGACCATGCCTGGAGCAAAAGATGTATATGGAGGATCCTTTTCATCCCACGTGAACTTTCATTTTTTTCATCACAAAAAATGCAAAAACAAAATAATAATTAAAAAAACCACTTATAATCTAACTTGGGTGTAGCTAATGTTGTATATGTCCTCCACCTCAGCCATATTACACAATAGACAGTGATGAGGTGGTGTGGGAGTTCCAGGCTAATTCAATTGCTAGTCTCTACCTGGATATTTGTATGAAATTTTGATGATTGTGCTTGAATTTAATGCAGATGCCTATTGCACATATATTAAAGTATGATTGAAATTCTAAAAAATGCAAAAGCTTGCTTTCTTGACTTTCTAAATTCATCTTTTATCTCAAATTTAATATGGAAGTTGTAGCACCCAATTCTGAATCACCACTTCTAATTACTCAACAAAATTTTATTAGTTGATACCATCCCAAAGTGGTAGGCAACTTTATTGGATCTCAACTCATTTGATTGGCTAAGGGCAAAAAACTACCCCTAGTGGAATATGGGCCTAAGGGGTTATAACAATCTTTATAAGACTATTTGAACACTTACATGTGTGTTAGTTCTTCATTAGTGTAGGGCTGATCCTTGTTTCTTGTGGAATGGACAAGATTCATGAGGAATTGGAGCAGGAGCAGCAGGATGCAACAACCAGAGATGGGACTGTGGATTGGTTTGGGAAGCCTGCAGCCAAGGGCTCAACAGGTGGATGGTGCACATCACCATATATTCTGGGTATGTTGTTCCTTTTATCTTAGTTTGCATTTCAGATTTTTCTTCCTCTCAGGAACTCAAACATTTGCTTCTGTTGGCTTCTGCGGTGTTTGGACTAACTTAGTTCTCTATCTCAGTAGAGTACTACATGAGCGTAATTCAGAAGCAGCTAATGCCGTTACTAACTGGGTTGGGACTTCCTACCTCAGCTCCTTACTGGGTGGATTCCTTGCTGATGCTTACTGGGGAAAATATCGTACAAATCTCATATTTCTTACCATCTACCTTCTGGTAAGAGGTTGAGAATAGAATTTTGTTCTCTAACATGTTATCATTTAGGGAATGGTGGTACTTACACTCACCGTAACTCTGCCCTCACTAAAACCTTCTCCTTGCAAAATGAACGTGTCAACATGCTCCGTTAGCACACTGGAACAGAAAGCGCTACTGTATCTTGGACTTTACACAGTAGCTGTAGGTTATGGAGGATATCAGCCTTGCATCTCATCATTCGGAGGTGATCAATTTGATAAGGAGGATCCTCTTGAACAGAAGCAGGCCACCACCTTCTTCAGCTGGTATTACATGTCCATGATGGTTGGAGCAATTATTTCAGCTACGCTTATTGTCTATGTTGAAGACAGTGTGAGCTGGAGCTGTGGGTTCGCTATATCTACAGCTGCTGCTGCAGCATCGATTATAATCTTCTTGATTGGCACTCGACTATATCGGCATCAAAAAACAGGTGGTAATCCCTTAACCAGAGTAGTCAAGGTCTTCACTGCAGCCGCTTTCAAACTGTATGTAGAAGTTCCCTCAGACAGCTCTCAGCTTTATGAGGTTGACTCTGCTGTTTCTGCTATTCAAGGAAGTCGTAAGATCCAGCATACTCCCAATTTCAGGTAAACACTTAAAACTTTCAGACCTGTAGTCGACTATAACTTGGACATTTTTCCTTCCTAGATTTCTTGATAAGGCAGCAGTGAAACTCGATACTCACGATGATATTAACATTTCATGGCGGCTTTGCACAGTCACGCAAGTTGAAGAGGTGAAATGTATGATGCGACTCCTCCCTATTTGGTCAACAACGATCATATTCTCAACATTGTACACACAAGTGAGCACTCTGTTTGTCGAGCAAGGCGCTGGTATGAACACGCTGGTAGGCAACTTCAAAATACTGCCAGGATCTCTGTCAACATTTTGCATGCTAAGTGTCATCTTATGCAGTCCTGCATATGAGTGGCTTCTAGTTCCAGCAGCCCGTAAGTTAACAGGCAAAGAGCGCGGAATTACCAACCTGCAACGAATGGGAACCGGCAAGGTAGTTGTAACAACTGCAATGGTCTGTGCCGCTTTTGTGGAGGTCTTCAGGCTGAAGTCCGTGGCAAGAACAAATTCAGCTCCTCTTCTGAGCGACTTCTGGCAGCTACCACAATACTTTCTGGTCGGCCTGTCTGAGGTGTTTGCCTACAGTGGGCAGCTGGATTTCTTTTACGAGCAGTCACCTGATGCCATGAGGGGCGTAGGACTTGCTTTGTCCCAGTGCTCATTTGCCTTGGGGAATTATCTGAGCAGTTTGCAGGTGGTGCTAGTTACGAAAGTCACAGGTTGGCTCCCCGATGATCTTAACCGTGGTAACCTTGACTACTACTTTTGGTTTCTAACAATACTCAGCTTTGTCAACCTGGCGTTCTATCTGTTCTGCTCTCTGCGCTACAAACTCATTCAAATCAACCACAACGATTCAGTTTCATTGAGGGCGAGTTATGCTCAGCTTGATCTTGACCCGGAGGATCTGATTGTTGAAAGGTATGCCTCCGGATGATTTAAATTTGATTGAGCATTTTCTACAGAAAATCAAATCCACAAAACACCTCTGAGGTGCTATAGGAGGAAAGTTCATCTGAATGTTTCATCACTGAACAGGAAAGTTTTGTAATACCTTTGAAAGGAATGCATGGAGCAGAAAATGATGCAATGATACATTGCAAAATCCATTATGTAATGGAACAAGAGAACACTCAACAGTTCTAGTCACTATCAAAAGCTTTTAAAGTGAACTTATTATCTAAACGATGGTTTGGGTTAACTATTTTTACCCCATGGTTTCCTTTGGTCGAGCGAGGGAAAGGTTAACTTGGATTAGCCCACAAACAGTGGATATAATATAATATAAAATTTATAACGCATGAATATCATACAACCATTTATTCCTCCACTCTCTATGGAAACAACTGAACAATAGCATTGGAAGATTTTTTGAAATACAAATCAATAATAAATGGATCAAATTGTGAATTGTTAAGAAGAGCAATGTGATAACCGAAAATGAAAAAGAACAGGAAGTGCTATTGGGCAGCTTCTTGGAGAACTACGATATAATCAACACAACAGTCCGGACAATGCACCATCCAGCACCATTGTCATTGGACAGTGCCATTTCCCAGTGCCACGGTGGCCTCATATAAGGACTTTACAAAACAAAACCTAGATTTAGGGTTAATATGCTTTGGTAGGTGTGACTCCATGAAATTGGTATGGAAGAAGAAGAGAAGAAGTGTTAGGATCCTATCCTTTACACCCTAAGCCAACTGGCTAAAGGGGTGATCACTTGATTGTAGGGCCCTTTCTTTATCCTATTATCCTGACCTGGTGCCTAACAATCCTCCCCCTCATCAGGGAATGATTGTCCGCGATCATACTTAGGCCACCATCCGATCACCATGGTCCTTCTCTTAGGGTCTACTAAACCTTGGTTCTCCCTCTAGATCCACCATGTTGAATATTCCTTTAGAATATTCCTGCCCCACTCGTCAGCCACGAGAATCGAACTGGGCTCTGATACTAATGTTATGATCCAGCGCAAAAAGACAGAGATTTAGTCGCCCTAGACTATGCTACGCCACCTCTTGATGTTCCTCACCACCCAACCACCCCCGAGCTACCTCAAAAGCTCCACTGCGCCGCCGCTCCACCATGAGCCCTAGGGTAGGTTAAGGCCCCTACCCTAACATGCCTTAATATACCCTTGAGCTTCCCTTTGACCGACGTTGACCATGTAGTCAAAGCTGGCGCCTAACAATTCTTCCCCCCCAACAAAGTCCTTGTCCCAAGGACAAGTTGTATTAGTGATCACCCTTTCTGGGGAATCCTGCTCAAGCTCCTAGTCCATCTTCCGCAGCCGTATACATCAAGGAGGCATTGGGCCCGTCACTCCGAGATAGTACACCTTTCAACTGGTTGACATAAAATACCGGATGAATTTTCACCCCAGCTGGCAGCCGCACTCGATAAGCCGCTTTACCAATGCACTCCAACACTTCATATGGACCAGCATATCGATGGGAGAGTTTATCACTCTTCCCTGTCCGTAAAGGCACCAAGGTGTTCCGCCGCTCACTTGACGGAAAGATCATTCGCACAAAGACGAGATCACCCACCTTATATTCCCGGAATTGGTGATGCTCATTGGCAAACTTCTCCGCTCTATCCTGAGCTGCTTGCAAATTCCGTTTGCACACCACCAGAATCTCATCAAGTTCTGTGGCCAGATCAATTGCCTCGGAATCAAGCTTATCTTGAACATCCTTACTCAAATGCAATCCCAACTCCACCGCTGTTCGAGGATGCCTTCCAAACATGGCAAAGTAAGGACTTAGCTTGGTTCCACTGTGTTGGCTATTGTTGTAAGCAAATTGCACCAACGGAAGATATAGATCCCACTGTCCTTGCCTTTGACCAATGCTACAACGTAGCATATCCTCCACCACCTGATTCACACGCTCGGTTTGCCCATCCGTCTAAGGATGATCTCCACTTGAGAGTTTCAAAGTCACTTGCATAGCCTTTGCAAAGCTTTTCCAAAATCCACTGGTGAACTTTGAATCTTGATCACTAATGATGTCCTCTGGCAAACCAAAATCAGGAAAAACCTTCTCCAAGTAAACCGCAGCCAAGTCTGAGGCAGTGACAGTCTTCCGAAGAGCCAACAACCGCACATACTTCGTCAACCGATCCACTATGACCCATACTTGCTCCTTTTGCCTCTGTGTTCGTGGCAAACAAGTGATGAAGTCCATAGAGATACTACACCAACGGCTTTGAGGAATAGATAAAGGTTGCAAAAGTCCCCCCGGCTTCTCCCGTGGCACCTTAACCCGCTGACAAAGCCTGCATGATTTACAATACCTGAGGATATCAGCCTTCATATTCCTCCAATAAAAGTTGCGCTTAATCAACTCATATGTCTTCTTCCCCCCAAAATGACTGGCCTCTGGACAATCATGATAGTGGAATAAAACTTGAGTAATTAACGCATCCACCCGTGGCAAATATACACGGCCATTGTAGTAGAGAATCCCATCCACCAATGAGAAAGGAGCTTCCATCTGGTCTCGCAAAGAGGCCACCCCAGCATCCTGAGCCTGAGCATGCTCAACCAATTGCCCAAACTCGCTAACCACCTTACTCAAATGATGACAAAATCGTGTTCGTAACGTCGTCACATGACGAACACGAGATAAAGCATCCGCCACCACATTTAATTTTCCCGGATGATGCTCAATAGAAAACTCCCCAAACTCCATGAGTTTGACCATCCAACGAGCTTGCCTAGTGTTCAACTCCTTTTGTGTGAAAAGATACACAAGTGGTTTGTGATCTGTCAACACCACGAACACTGCACCATAAAGATAGTGTCGCCACGTTCGCAAAGCATGAACAATAGAGAGTAACTCTTGCTCATATGTGGAATAGCGTTGCTCAGCGGAATTCAAAGTTCGACTCTCATATGCAATAGGCTGTCCCTCTTGCATGAGAACTCCTCCCAGTGCATAACCACTCGCGTCACATGTCACCTCGTAAGGTTTCGATGGATCAGCAATGTGAAGCACTAGAGCCTCGCTCAACAATCGTTTCAGCGCCACAAAACTCTCCTCTTGTGGCGTCTTCCACTCGAAGGGCACATTCTTACGTAACAACCACGTCAAAGGAATAGCCACCTCTGCAAACTTATGCTAGAAACGTCGGTAGTAACTAGCCATACCAAGAAAACTGCGCAACTCAACCACTGTAGTCAGTGTAGGCCAGTTTTCCACCACAGCCACCTTCCTTGGATCCGTCTTGACACCCTTAGATGTCACAATATGGCCTAGGTATTCCACCTCCGACTTTGCAAATTCACATTTACTCTTCTTCGCATAAAGTTTGCTGTCTCGAAGTAACAAAAGAACCTTGCGCAAATGCACCCTATGCTCCTCCATATTCTTGCTAAAAACAAGAATATCGTCCAAGAAAATCTCCACAAACTCATGAAGATAACGCCCAAATACCTCCGTCATCAACCGAGTAAATGTGGCCGGTGCATTCGTCAAACCAAACGGCATAACGGTAAACTCAAAATGTCCGAAGCTTGTGTTGAATGCCGTCTTGGAGATAGATGCATCATCCATTGCAATCTGATGATATCCACTCCTTAGATCAATCTTGGTAAACACTCGTGCTTCACCAAGCTTGTCTAGGATATCATCCACACGTGGCATCGGCATCTTGTCCTTCACTGTCTTCTTGTTTAAAGCACGGTAGTCAATACACATCCGCATTGAACTGTCCTTCTTTTTCACAAGCAAGACCGGAGCACCAAACGGAGATTTACTTGGCTGAATAAATCCAAACTCAAGTAACTCCTTGACTTGTCGTTGAACTTCTTGCTCCTCCGCATAACTTAACCGAAATGGACGCCGGTAAATTGGCCGCGTCCCCGGCTCCAATGTAATCCCATGCTCCACACCTCGTAATGGAGGTAATCCATGAGGAAGTTCAGATGGAAAAACATTAGAAAACTCGTCAAGTACATCCCATATTGCTGCTTCTCCCCCACACGTGCCTTGGTCCCCCAAGTCATGAACAAACAGCAAGTAACTCGAAAGTGCTTTTCCATTACGACAAGCCCACTTCAAAGATGTAGCAGAGAGCATAACAACTGGTGGTTGAACGCCCTTGCCAAACCACACATCTTTAACGCCACCATACTCCAGCGAGATACGCTTAATGCTCCACTTTATCTCTGGATCCACCTTCACCAACCATGGCATCCCAAGAATGAGATCCACACGATGAATATCCGCGAGATAAAAAGTCTCCACAAGTGTGGTTTTGCCAACCAACACTTCCAGCCCCTCGACACAAGCATCGAAATGTTGAGTAGAGGTGGTTGCACCTTCCACTGTGTATGGAAGAACTCCACATGTGACCAGGCCATGCTCCGCAACAAACTTTGCCGAAACAAAGTTGTCATCGCTCCCACTATCCAATAAAATCCGCACTGGATTGCCACGGAACACACCCTCCAACATTAAAGCTAATTCACACGTATCCTCAAGCTCCATTTTGTTCCACACACAGTTGAGCTGACAAGCAACGATCGAAAGTCGCTTCCTCCGACCAGAATGGTCGTTCTCCTCATCCTCACGCTACAAAGTTTGCAACTTTTTAGTATCGGACTTACCATGAGAAGAAGATTGGCCATTCTTTTTGTCCTGCTGCTTGTTCTTCAACTGCGGACAATCAGCCTTGTAGTATCCAAGTTTGCCGCAATGATGACAACCTTGTCTATAATTCTTCACAAAGAACTTCTGCTTCTTGGACCCCTTTGCATCTGAAGTAGTCACCACCGACTTCAACTTGTGATGCTTGTTCCTATCCTTGTGTCCACGGTGATCATCACGATGATTCTCGACAGAAGGACTCTGCAAACGCTTGCAAGACTTGTGCTTGTCATAACCGTAAACGGAAAGCAGCCTCAAACTCATCCATGGTAGACACTGG